GAATGAAATATTTCCCATGCTTTGATTTTCCACTTCATGAAACAATATTTTCATTTTGCCTAGCCTGGGTTTTTAAGCTAGAGTTGCTACTGCTGCAGCCGCAATTAATATTCCACCTTCCAAAAGGAGGCAAAAAAAAGAAGAAAAAATTTCTTGCCCGTGGATTCCCAGGGAGACGTTCCACTCCGATCTGCAATTAGCGGTGGCCTCAGGCAAATGATCTAAAATAGAAGTGTTATTTTTGGAATCGCGATAGCCACCAGTTTTTACTCCCCAGAACACTCATTCTTTCTGCACTGTCATTAAAAATAGAATCCACAATAGCGACGCCGCTGCCTTTGGGTTTCTTTCCTGCAGCAAGACACACGCTGCCATCCCAGGGCTGCCAGCACGGGAAATTACATGGATTTCTCATCTTGCCAGAAATCCATGACCAGATCTGAAACACTGAACCCCCCATGTTTAAGGCAGAACTAGGTCTGGCCTAAACTCGTCCTACTGACTGTGGTGCAGATGGGAATGGATCCCCGACAGCTTTGTGCTTGAGATCCCAACACAAAACCTGTAGAAGACCTTCCCCCTTATTCCAGAGGGGGAGAAATTCAGGCTTGATTTTAATATATCCACAACTTTAAACACCTGCCTGTGTCCTACAGGAGTTAAAAGGGCTCAGAAGCATCTCTCCTCTCCAAGACATGCTCCAGTGTGGCAGTGTGGCAGTGTGGCTTCTCTGGGCCTCACCACTTCCACAGGGAAGGATTTCTCCCCAATATCCCATCCATCCCTGCTCTCTGGCAGTGGGAAGCCATTCCCTGTGTCCTGTCCCTCCATCCCTTGTCCCCAGTCCCTCTCCAGCTCTCCTGGAGCCCCCTCAGGCCTTGGAAGGGGCCCTGAACTCTCCCTAGAGCCTTCTCTTCTGCATGGATGACCCTTGAAATTCACACCTTGCTTGGTCAAAGCTTGGATGGAGCTGCCACCTTCATACAGGAGATGGACAGAGGGCCTGTGGGCTTTTCCTAGGAGAAAGAGACATCCACTGGGAAAACCTCAGAGTCCTCCCTTTGCCTTATTTTTTCTGTCAGCCTCCTGCAAAGTCTTGCTTAGAAAGATCCCTAATTCCAGGCTCCTCGAGCACCAAGGTGAGGGATCCAGGTGGATCCACCACCTCTCTCCTCCCGGGGAGATCCAAAGGGGAGATCCTTGCCACATTCACTGCCAGGGTCATCCCGCGGTGGGGATCGCTGCCCCGGGTCAGCTTCTCCTGCGCTGGTCCCGCTGCTCCGGGGCTTTGGAAGGGGAGGAAGCAGAAGGGAAGAGCGGGCACATCAGCTGGTAACAGTTCAGAAACAGATGTACATTCCTGCACAGAACTCCGGCCGGAGAGTATCCAATTACTTTGGAACCGTGCTCCGCCCCGAGCGTCTCATCCCCAAAGCCCCGCTCCCCGCACCTCCCGCCCCTTATCTTTGCTTTTGATTATGAACTTGTCACCGCAGGGGGAGTGCTCTGGGGGACACCAGGGGTGAGAGAACAAAGCCCAGGCACCAGGAGGAGCAGGGACAATCCCGGCTGGCGCTGCCAAGGCAGCACGGGGAAGGTGCCCACACCGGGTCTCTCCAGGTGGGTACTGCACAAGCACTGAGGGATTATCCCCTTAAAAAAGGAGGGAGGAAATGAATCATCTTAATCAGACCTGGCTGCAGCAGAGGTGGTTGGATGCTGGGTGCACTTTGGGAGCAGGATGTTTCTGGAAGAAGGGATGCCCTCCTCTGTAACAGAAGGAGGAAGGCAAGAAGCACAACAGCTCCTGGTTTTCCTCCAATTTGCTCCAAAAATTGGCGTCCCTGGCAGCTCCCCCAGCAGAGGGGAGCTGGAAGAGCAGCCTGGATGGTGTACTGAAAGGATATTACCTGCACTGTCAGGGCATCCAATCTTTTCCTGCTTCCCACTACAAGCAGAGGGAGGGGTGGCAGGACACAGAAATCCAAACCTCCTCTTCAGCACAGAGAGGCCAGAGGGCCAAACCCTGCCAAGGGGACAGCTGGGCCACAGGCTTCCTATGGAGAGCAAGCACTGACCCCAAATCACAAATCACATTCATTATTGCCCTCTAACAAAAAAATCCGGGAGCCTGGTAAAGGCAGGGGAACAGCATGATAATGAGTGTCACATTCAGACGGGGCATTACAATTCCACCAGGACTATTTTTTTGTGAGGCAGTTTTTATTCCCTAACCTCGTTCCCACCCTGCCGTGGTGGCGGGAAGGATGGATCCAGCCCAGCCCGCTTTGCCAGCGGCACCTTCGCGCTGTTTCCCCCACAGACCTGCCCGGACTCCAGGAAAGCCGGATCACGTTTCAGCCGGGACTGGTCCCGCACCTTTGGTCTGCTCCAGGGCAGATATTTGCAGGATTGTCACCACTGGACTTAGTCCTGGCACCAAGCACTGCAGCAGTGGAGGATCCACACACACGCACACACAGCAGCTCCTGAGTGATGCTCGCTGGAGCTGGGCTCAGAGACTCCGTAATTACCCCATGGCCAAATCCCACCATAAATTTCCCCTAATGAAGCCTGCCTGATGCTAAAAGGCTTTGCACGTTTAGAGGTTATGCACAGCAGCAATTCCCTTAGGGAGAAATCCTGCCTCGATCCTGCAAACACTCCTTCAGTCTCGTTTGCTGAAGCGAGGCGGGTTTTCATTGAATTTATTTACTTAATATTAGCTGTTTAACCCAGAGGAGCGCGGGGCTGCTCTGCTGCTGCCGCCGTGCAGCCCGGCAAGGCACATCCCAGAGTGCCAGGAGCAGCAGCCACTTGGCTGGACCAGGATCATGCCACGTGGATATGGCTTTTTTCCCAGCACGGCTCCAGTGGAATGCCCAGGAGCTGTGGCCACGCTTGTATGGGATTATCCCAAACACCATGTGCCAGCTGAGAAATGGGCATGTTGAGATCCATCCACACAGTCCACACATAACCCCTCCATCACTTGTAGGATCAAATCCCACCCCATGGAAACACCTCACACCTCAAGCCCTGCTTTCAGTGGTCATGGCAGGGCCATAAAAAGCTGAAAAATAAATGCTGGCAGGGCAAGGGGAGAGGAGACGCACAACCAGCAGCCTCACTCCCCCAAAATATCCCTGCTTCCTCCCCTGAGCAGTTTTTTGTGGGCACCTGCAGCCTTTTTGGGCAGCTCAGCCCGGGATCTCAGCCCTGCATCCCCCCTGCCCCTCTGTGCTCCATGAATCCCTACAAACCCACCGCACCTCACCCCCATAAACGGGGTGCCATGAGCCGGGAACCTGTTTGCTGGGAAAACCAGGAATGGTGCCCCTCCAGTCTTCAGCGTTGGCTTCCCTCAATACTTGGAAAGGATCCCAGGCGCTCAGGAGGCTCCAAAATAACCCCCAGAACAAACCGAATACCCCCTCACAAGGGGTGGCACCAGCTTTGAGGTTCGTGGTAGGCACCATCCCAGCCCACTTTTACCCGTGGAAGTGCAGGTCTCGGATGCTGGATCAGCCCTTGGAGCCAGCTTTGGGAAAGCAGGGTTTGGGGTGCGAGTGGGAGCGGCACCCGCCCTGCCCAGCTCACCGGGGTCTTAAATCGGATTAAAAATCTATTTGCGGAACGGCCTCACTTTCCGACTTCTGTGCTGCACCTGAAAACCTTTCCTTTGGAAAGCAAACACAGGCTCTCCCCAGGGGCTGCCTGGGGAAGGCTTTCCACTATAAACATTACCTACCAGCAGTGCAGCCAGCCCCAGGCAAGCCAAAAAATCCTTCTACTACCAAGGAACACTTTCCAATCAAACCAGACATTATTTTTTTCTGTTAATGAGTGTTGATACCTACTGGAAAACCTTGCAAAGAAATCCACTCCAAACTAATTCTTCTGATACAACCTCAAAGTTTTACAAGTTTCTTTTGTCTTATTTCTTTTTATTATTATGATTATTGCTCGATTTTATTTTCCTGCTCCGTACTGAAAACATGATCTTTGCGGCTCAGGAATTCATCTGTTCCTGCAATTTGGGCTGCGACTGAAATCAGAGGTCCAAATCTGATTTTTCTCTGCCTTAGCTCCACGGAAGCAAGCAGAGCTTTCCCACATTTTCCCCCACGGCATGATGGAGAGGGAAAAAGAGACCTGTTGTCTTCTGTTAGATAGATCAAAAATTCTGCTATCACAGTTTTTGTGTGCTGGAATACCACTAATTCAGCGGCGGGATATTCTGGAGGAGGAAAAAGTGTCCTCCTATCTACCTTGGCTGCCAACTCCCTAAAATGTGCTGTTTAGCATTTAATGGAAGTGGGGGAAAGTGGGCACAAAATGGCAATGCATGGCCATCATGGCCTCTCCAGGGTCCTCTCCGTGGGTTTTTCCATGAGCTATTAGCTGCTCTCCAGCTGATCAATATTTTGGGGTTGTCTCGGAGTTTTTCCCATGCCCCCCACAAGTAGGGGTTTAGCCCCTCTGCCCCCAAATCTCCACCATTCCCACAGCTTAGCGTGCCCCAGGGAAGTTCTGCCACTCTGAGGTCACCTTGTGGGATGGGGAGGCACGTCCTCACCCCATCCCTGCAGGACAGGGGGTTTGCAGGACCCCCAGAGCGGGGGACTGGAAAATAGGCCCCCATTCCATGAAAACAGGGCACGCGTTCGTGCGTGGAGTGCTCGCTGCCTCTGCACCCCGATCTGCAGCCTGGCCACGGAGCTGGGAACGGGACCCTGAGCAGCACCCCAAAAACCCTGGGGTGGGTGCGGGGGGTAATCCTGGAGGGGTGCTGCAAATCCAGCATCTCCAGGGGTGGGGGGTGGCGTTCACCAGCTATCTTTGATTCGAGGTGCATTCCCAAGATTTTAGTTAAGTGTAACATAAAACTGTGAAAGTTTAGCAGGGGAAAAGCCTTCCTCCCACCGACCTGGCCGGCCAATCAGGAGGGAGCCCCGCACCTCCCTCACTTCTGACAACTATTTAGCAACTGAGCTCAGCTAAAGTTTCCAAAAAGTTAGAATAACTTCCTCTCTCCAAGACCTCAATTTTTTTACACAACCTCGGTCCTTGAAATAAGAGCCCTTCAAGCAACCTGGAAAACGTTTGGTCAGCAAAAAAAAAAAAAAAAAAAAAGGAAAAAAAAAGAAAAAAGAGTCCTCCTGTTTTTCCAAAGGATCTGTCTCAGGAATTTAAAGCACATTTAAGACACACACACTCACATAACATAAGGAGGGGGGGAAAGGCTCTTCCCCTCCCCTTCTTGCAGAAAGCATGGAAGAAAGCTCCAGTTCTCCTGTTTCCCCTGTGGATAGCTTGGGGACCAGTGAAGAGGAGCTGGAAAGGCAGCCAAAGAGATTTGGCAGGAAGAGAAGATACAGTAAGAAGTCCAGCGAAGATGGCAGCCCCAACCCAGGGAAGAGGGGGAAGAAGTCCAGTCCCAGCTCCCAATCTTACGAAGAACTGCAGAGCCAGAGGATCCTGGCCAACGTCAGAGAGAGGCAGAGGACTCAGTCGCTTAACGAAGCTTTCGCTGCCCTGAGGAAAATCATCCCCACGCTGCCCTCTGACAAACTGAGTAAAATCCAGACGCTCAAGCTGGCGGCTCGGTACATAGACTTCCTCTACCAGGTGCTACAGAGCGACGAGATGGACAGTAAGATGACGAGCTGCAGTTACGTGGCTCACGAGCGGCTCAGTTATGCCTTCTCCGTGTGGAGGATGGAGGGAGCGTGGTCCATGTCGGCCTCCCACTAGCCACCGCCCGGGCCGGGCCAGCCCAAGGGGTAGGTACCTGTTTCTCTTCTCCTGGACGATGCTCTGGGTCTGTTTCCTTCCCTTTGCCCTATGTGGAATGCTGGGGATGCTGGTGGGTTTGGGGTCACCGACCTGGAGGGCAGCGTAGGCACGTCCAGTTCCTCCCGCTCTCCCCGCGCCAACGGAAATTCAAATAAATGGAGCTTCCAGGAAGGCAAAACTGAGATATGCCCCAAATTTTTGGGAGGGTTTGGGGAGGAAATAGTGATCAGCATGCTTTTGTTTTGTGGGAATGGGGAGTAAGAGTGGGCTGGTGTTGAGAGCTGAATGATGAGGGACAGAGGGGAAACCGTCACCGCGTGAGATTTGCCAGAAAGTGCTGCTTCAGAGAAGGGCTCAGAGAGGAAAAGGTGATGGCCATAACAGGCTGATGAGGGGATCCAAAACAGCTGCTGCCCCACTCTGAGGGTGTCTGCACCCCAAAAACCCAGCGCTGAGCCCCGTGGTGGCCACATCCCCTCCCAGCTGGGGGGCCGGGGGCTTGGCAGGACCCACGCGGGGCTCAGTGATGGGGGTCGCCCCAGGTTGTGTTTCTCTTAAAAGAAACGAGCAGCAGATGTCGGCTGCAGTCCCGGGCTGTGCCCCTTCCCCCTCACACAGCAAAAAAGCAAACAGACGCAGGAGAAACTCTGCTAAATTTTTGGGTTTGTCCAGTTTCCCTTCCCCAAAGTGACGGTAAAGCAGCGGCTGGCGTTAGGCACAGTTTCTTATTTACTCTCCTCACCAAACCCTTCCTCGTCGCTTTCCATTAGCAGGAAACTACTTCCTCTTCAGCTGCCTTTGTAATATTTGGGGAGGGAGAAATAAACAGTCAGAAAGGAGGGGGGGAAAAGCCTTTTAATAACACCCTCATCTCCAGCTAATTAAGCAGAGCAGCTCTGCGTTGTGTCAGCCGGAGTTTGGGTCTGGCCGGGCGCTGTCTGGGGCTCCCTACATAAAACAGAGCCCACGAACCCATTCCCCCAAGCAAACACTCTGAAGGGACATTTTTCCCCGCCACCCTCGTGATTTAAAAATGTAATAATTTCATCATGTGCAGAGTTGAAGAGGAAAGTTTATCCCAGCCCATTGGCCGGGCTTGTTTAAAGAGGCAAATCCATCTTTGTTCGGTCAGCAATGAACAGCCCGTTTGGATAAATAAAATACAGAATCAGGCAAAAACTTGATGCAACTGCAGTACCTCAGTTCAAAAAGCTTAAAAATGTGAAACTGGGAGTTACTAGTGGTGTAAAACAGACTTAAAACCGTTTTAGATGCAAATGCTTCACTTGCATCCTGAAATAGTTTGAAATTTGCACTTTGGTCTTGGAATTAAGATCTTCTAGTGATTCCCCAAAATATGAAAAAAATTCTCAAAATTGGTTATTCTACCCATTGCAAGAGCTGCCTGTTGTTTAGCTTTATTTACACAGGTAACACTGTTGTTGTGGGGTTTATGGCTATCGCTGGCATTCTTACATTTTGCACATTGTGTCCCAATTTCAACTGCAAAAATCCAAAACTGAGAGGGTTCTTCAAAAGCTAAACCCTCCGTTTATGAAATAGAGAGCCTTTTCCCATGCTAATCTGGCTAAAAACTGCAGCAAACAGATTTTAAAAAAACCAAAAACAACCAAAAAAAAGCCACTGAAAAACCCAGGCTTCTTGTCAAAACCAGATGTAAAATGTCCCGAACACATATTTCTTCAGCAGTTTAGATTGGCTGAATAGGAAAGTGCTGGGCTGGAACAATGCATTGATTCTGTTGTTTCCCAAATGATGTGTTGCCATTAGCCAAGGATGGTTGAAAATCTGTTATCGAATACACAACCACTCCTAGCACACGGGGCAAAACCTGCTTTTTAAAAACTGTCTTTTATACCTCACGTTGGTTAAATTATTATTAACATTGCTCTGATGAGGCAGACTTTATAGGTAGGTGCTCAGATTGTCCCTATCCCCCCCAAAAAATGTGAGGATATAACAGAAAAATCACGATGCAGAACCAAACCCCGGCACATTTTGGTTTGATTTGGAGCAAATTGGAATTCGGAGCCATTGCCGTAACCCAACCTCCAACCCAGTGCTCCAAGGTGGCTCTTGCAGAGGAAGATCCCAAACTTTCCCCCCTTTCCCTCTGCCTGTGTTGTGCAGGAACACGCGTGTGGTTGGACTGTTGAAAAGGTTGTTGACAAATGGCCTGGTGCGGTGTGGTGTCAAATTCTACCGTTTATGGCGACAGAAATTACGGCTGCCAGAAAATAAAAAATAAAACTACAACACGGTCCTCAGGAAACCCCTGAAAACAGGCAAATTTGGTTGAGTGGTGGGACTTTTTATGGGTAAGAGGGGAGCAGCCTGCACTGCCTCGGTGGACAAAAAAATCCATAAGAAATGGTTGTGTGGGTTTGGGATCAGCTCCTACCTTTCCTAGGGAGTAGGAATTGCAAATGTGGAGTGAGCGCCACTCAGGCTGGCCCGCCATCCTCCCTTTCCCCAAGGTTTTGGGGAGAGAGAAGCAAGGAAAGGGGACACTCATTCCCCTCTGGTTGCAAAGCAAAACAGAAAGCAGAGGAGCCGTTTGATTAGAAAATCAGAGCCTTGGGAACTGGGAAAATGCCACCTGGCCCCTGCGAATGCCAGCAGGTCGCTGCTGCTTGCTCGCCTGGCCACGAGAGCTTTTCCTGTTCTGCTCCACGGAATTCCAGACAACTGGCTCTGGGAGCCGCAGGAGAAACAGGCACAGCTTTTGAACCTCTAGGATTGCAGAGGGATGTTTCAGCCGAGCCTTCCTCCCCCGAAAATCTCCCCATCCTCTCCGCCCGGCACCTGCGCTGTCCCCTTGCAGCCACCTTTCCCTTTTGCTTTCTAAACGTTCCACGGCCTCTAAACTGAAAAGAACGAATCGGGGGGAAAAGACAGTACCTTTGCTGATACTCCTTTTAGCAGGGGGGGAAACAAAACCTGTCCAGCCGGGATGGCAGGACCAGCAGCAAAGCCTAAGGGACAACGCAGCCCTGAGCCCCGCACCAGTGTGACCAGTCTGCTGCTCCTTTCCCACTCACTGGGGAAGAGCCCTTCGCCTCCCCTCGGCTGGCACGGGCTCTGGGAACCCCTTTTCCCACCTTTTCCATGCTGGAGAAGCCACGTTTAAGGCGTGTGTTTGATCCGCAGCCCTCAGCCCATCGCCCCTTCAGACTTGCAGGGCTGTTTCCAGTATGAAACACCAGCATCCTATTTCATTTTCCCCTTAAAGAAGCAAACAGATGTTATCTCTGCTGGCCCTGGGAACAAAACCTAATTCTATAGTGTCTGAGAGCAGCACAGTTAACTGGGGGTGTAGTGACACTGGAACGAAGCCCTTTCTTGTCCCAAAAGCCCCATTTTTTCATACGCATCCTTCAAAAAATGTAAATAAGTTTCCTTGACAGGAAGGATTGTAAAGTTTGGTATTTACATTAATAGCCTCGTAGCGGCGGGGAGGGGTGAGGGTTTCATCTCAGTGCGTTTAAAAAAGCCCAGCAAAATGCATTTTGGATCCTCTGTTTACGTTCGTGTCTTTCCTTGGGAAAGGATAAATCTGTTACCCAGCAGACACCAAGCACGCTGCAGTCAGCCAAAAAACGCTCAGGCTCAGGGATCTTTGAAAAAGAGGGTGCAAGGGAAATGCTCCGGAGAAGGAGACACGCATAGAGACAAATCTGCCAGGGGCTAGACGCAAATAAATGAATTACCCATCAGAAAAGAGCTGGAGACACTCATGGCGCGGGGAAAATGCTGGATCGGGTCCGAAGGAGCGCTTAGAAAAGCGGTAAAAACATGTTATTACTTAATCTGCTGGAGGCAGAGCTGCGGTAAAAGTCCTATCGGGAGAGATGTGCGTTGAAGGGTCATTAAGGGAACAATCGAGGCAGACATTTCGGCTAAGTAGACCTAATTTGTCTCCGAATTAGTCATCCTCAGCTCTGCAGAGCAGCCCTCATTTTCAAAGCATCCTCATTAAAGCAAAGCGAGAGATTGAAACGCTTCTCGTGAGCAACCTCCCCTCACATTCCTTCCGACGGTGCTTTTTGGGGACATATTTCCTGCAGTTATAGGTAGCAGTGATAAATGAGCCCTGGAGATCACAGCGGGCTCTTAGAGAGCTGGGACAGATCCTGTAACCACCGCTGAGATCTCTTCTGGGGACATTCCATGCCACTCTTTCCCCCGGCAATATAATTATTTTTATAGCCATAGCCCTGAGAATAATTTCCATGTGCTTCAGCACGACTTTGAAACCTCCGAGCCCAAAACTTCCAGAATTTATGTCTTGCTGGGGAGCTGTGGGAAGGGTTTGACAAGGCCAGGAACATGGAAAGGAATGGCACCAGAACCCCGAAACACAGAGCAAGCTGGAAATGCTGTCAGAGAATTACAGCTGGCTGGGGAAAGCAGATATTCCGGGGAGCTTTTTCACCCCTCTTCCCAGGTTTTGCAGAAAATTGGGAAAGGGGGAAGAAATAGTAAATTGCGTCTTGCAAGCTGCTGATCCCACCAGACATCTCAGTGGGCTGCTCGAAGAGTCACCACATCTCCTCGTTCCCTTCTTCAGTCAAATTTGGAAGTGAGGAAAACCAGGAAACCATCTAGCTGGATATTAGCAAACTCGTACTAATTAAGGATAAGTTCTCAAGAATTAAAACAGTATAAATATTTGCCAGGGATTTTTAAAAAAACCAACAAAACAAAAAACAAAAAACAAACCAACAACAAAACACCAAACCAACTTGGCACCCCAGCATTAATTAGATTTGTAGTTGTGGAAGATGACCACTCAGCAACAACAACTAATCACACACAAAGAGCAAATTAACTCAGCCAGCCCATAAATCAAGGCAAGGCAGCCCTTGCCCTCAAACCCATCCCTTTAACCACTTCCACACCAGGCCGAGCCAGTCCCCCCAGCCCCAATGTCCTTGTCCTGACATGGGAATCAGGGCTCCGGGAG